ATTAATCATGTAACAATTATTATTTTACTCTATTAATAAAGATCGTGAGAAATGCCTCACTTAACATTAAAAAAAATAACATTAAAAAAAAATTACCATAATTTTGGAAATCATTTATTTTTAGAAATCCTGATGTGTGGTATTATAAATCTCTTTTTCAATAACTTAATAATATTTCTTGTTTTAGTAATGTACTGTATAATGATGATAATAATAATAAAGATCTATTATTCAAACATCGAGTAATGTTTGGATGTATTATGTGTCATTTGGCATATTCAAAAAATTACTCGATTTGGATGGTAACGTTTTATTTGTAAAATCATTTAAAATTTTGTATTAGCAAATTTCTTGATCCTTATCCTATTTGTCACAAATCTCAACAGCGATTATTAATCCGTATTTGTAATGATGTCATTTACCGAAATTGATGCTACCATTCATTGACTATTATGCGTGAATGTCGACTTGTTAATTAAGTCTTGTCATTTAAAAGTTGCATCTTTAAAAGAAACACAGATGTTGCTAATAATAAAGGCATAAAGTATACTAAAATAAAAGTATTGATGCAACTTCGCCTTACCACATCAATTCGTACCTCTTGCGATTATGATTCTCTTGTGGCACATGATCACAAAAATCTTATACTCGGCCCGAGAAAAAATATAATACCGGTAAAGTATGGTATGACAGGTTTTGCCCCTGGGACGCAAGTTAATACAGTATATACGAACATGCACATACAGCATATGTGCTTTTTCTTTTCTTCTTCTTCTTCTTCTTCTTCTTTTTCATTGCAACTATTATTTGGAAGGTGATTAAAGAACCTTGGGAGCTTCGTATGCTTAAAGTTACGAGTTATAGCACATCTTTTCTGAAACATAACGACTGGTAAGAAAAGAATTCAGATGTGTAATTGTACACATCATTGATTTTCATTGGCCAATTTTACGTAATTAAGCTAGAAATTTTTAGGCATCTCATATATTCATTCATCCATTCATTCATTCAGCGCCTGATTGTTTGGTTCATTCATCATCCTAGTTTTTTTTATTCATTCACGCCTTCGCTACCGTCTTGAAAGAGATCTTTTTCGTTGACCTTATACATATTCATCTGAGGGAGCCCTTAATCAACCTAACATCGGTTCATCCGATTAGCAAAATGTAGAAATTGTTATTTTTATGTAACTCCAGATTATCCGAATTTAAATCACTGGTATACTTTAATTGATAATCATCATCAAGTTACCTTCCTTTTATATCTTATAGGCATTCAAGGTTTAGGTTACATCGTCTATTTTAGCAACACCTTTTATTTGTTTTAAGCTCGTAAAGGATATGTTATTTGTAGAAAGAAGCCGATCCGACGAGGAGGCTGTTTTTTTTTTTAATTGACTGTCGTATGTAAAGTAAAAACTTTGGAATCTCCAATTAATTTGTTGACACACACGATTCAAACAAAATGTTGTTCGTTGATTACATAATTTACATTCCGAAAGCTTTGAAAAAATTTATATCTTTTGAGGGTCTCAGCGAAGTGGACCGTCGAATAGATGCAAGACATATTGTTATCGCATTAGTGAAGAGGTTAAATTAGATATCCAAAATAAAAAGGAGAGCTTATTTGTTCGCATATGTAATTTCATTTTTGCACATGAATGCCGCGGAGGTTTTCTGTAAAGAATGTAGAGTAGAGTCTCGCATCAGATCAATTTACTACCCCAGAAAGTTCAAATGTATATTACTTTATACAAACTTTAACCAAGATAAGCTATTTTGTAATGTAACTGTGTATCAACTGTTTGGTTACCCACACTTAATTACACTATATTTCGAAATAATTCTTGTTTGAATGGTTGAACTTCCTTTATATACAGTAAGTCGAGCAGCGAACATACTTAATTTAAAAGTTTTTTTTTTTATTATATAATCTGGTGAATACATACATGCTGAGTAGACTTTGTGAAACGATTAGGGTATGAATATAATAAAAAAAAATATTATTTGTTTCATTTAGTAAAAATTAGAATATTTGTTATCAGCCTGTTTCACTTTATATAAAACCCTTAGATCATTGACTTACAATTCGACCAAATTTGGATGCTTCTGAAAATTCAATTACTTTATTTTTTCTTTAATTTCCTACAAAAGAAAAAAAACAAAACGCATTGTTAAGTTTTTAAAACATTCGAAGAGACACCACCAAAAAGAATAAAAGGGAAATCGCGACTCGAATTCGATATTCCTTTGTTAAAAAGATGGGAAGCAATTCATCAAAAGTTACAAAACTTCGAAAGAAGAAAAGTCGTCAAAAACAATCGTCAAACGAAAGTAGTTACTCCAGCAAAAGTTCTTTCAGCGAAGAAGCAAGTTTCGAAAGTTTCGACATTTTACCTGAAGATTTGACCACCGAATATGAGATGGCTATCGCAAGAATTTGGGGAATGGAATATTATTCGGCACCCGTGGATGACATTCTAACGACCACCGGAAAGATTTTGGAGGCCGGGTTTGTTTGTACTTACTGAATATTCCATTCCTTTATTTGAATGTTAAATGTTGGTCTAACAAAAATTTCCTCGAATTGGATTTCGATGATTAGGTGCGGCAATGGTTCATGGCTAATTAACTTGGTATCATATCTCCTTCGTTCATGCCGATTTTATATTTGATACATATTTCACACACAATCCTCATCCACTTTTCTTACTTACCATTACGCACGCATAAATAGTCTCGAATATATCCCATAGCAGAATACATTGGAGTGGACTTGAATCCCGTAACCAACGTGAACTATCCACATAATGTAACGATAATAAAGGGCGATCTATTGTCACTACCATATGACGAGAATCAGTTCGATTTTGCGAAGATGTCGAATTTCTCGTGCTATTTGACAGATAACGAATGGGTGCAAGGCATCTCAGAGATGATAAGGTAAAACCAATCGTGTGTATTTAGAATTACGCCCAGATTTCTGCCATCATGCATGCACCTAATTTGTCTTGCGTTTAACTATTCTTTTAGAGTGACAAAATGCGGAAGTTGGGTAGAATTTTGGGAGGTCGAGCCAATATTATCAAAGAATGCTCCTACTTATATGTATTTTGTCGAAAGTTGTAAGCAAAAATAAAACACATTCTATGCATCTTCTATGAATAGTTTTCTTTTTCATTTATCACTAAAAATTTCTCAAACATCTTATATCCCCTGACAGATAACGAATACCTGACCTTAAGCGGTATAACTGGTGTGAGTGTCACAAAACTGGAATACTTTCTGTACAGTTCTCGAAAATTAGATAACATCCAGTGCTCCTCAAAATCCATGGTTATAGGACAAAAGGGTGGGGAAGATGGTATCATCCTGCTGAAGTGTTTTTCTCAATGGTTTTTGGAACTTCATTGCGAAAGTTTATCCAAATATATGGGCATATCACAAGAGGAGTATAGAAGGAGATGTAAAATTATGCTAGATGAAATAGAACAAACTAAAGTAGAACTAATATTTCGTAGGTTCTGGGCTCAAAAAAAGATGAACCCAGGCGTGGATTGACTACCTGAGCAAAAAAATATTTTCAATTATCTATTAATAAAATTTCACATTACCTATGGCGTTTTTTATTCTCACGTGTTTTATATAAATATAAATATCGTTCTTTTTTTTATAAATGCGAAATAAAGTAGCAAAGCAATATTTAGGTCTATGGTTAGCAACAATTATAGCGGGTCACTCGTGTCAGCACGCTACTAATAAAATTCAAAATATGACCTTAACTAAATTTATTTTGGTTTTTTCTTTTGGTCAAATAAACAATTCCTTGCACACAAAATATTTCACGAATCTGCAATGGTTCAAAAAAGAAATGTCAGTTGTCAGAATATCAACATATTCATTAACAGTAAAAACGGGTCAGTTGCATCTGAAAATCGACCCATCGTTACTTGAAATATCGTTACATTGGTTTCCATTGTTTTAGTTATATGTGAAATATATCATGTGATCTTGTTTTTTTTTTCTCGCCGATATAATAGCTGCTATTTATTTATTTGTCTTACAATTACTGTAACTTGTAATTTCAATTGACGTAATTAAAATATAGGATTCAAAAAATTAAAATTCAAAATATAACAACATGACTATTTTAAAATCAAAATTTTTATATCTTTTTTCAACAAAATAAATTCATTGATTTTTGTTCATACTGATTCTTACTTAAATTTTGACTTATAAATATATACAACATCTATATATACTGTATATTTATTTATAAAATATATTTATTTTTCAAATTTTGTTATATATTTTTTTATAAAATATATATATTTTTCAAATTTTGTTATATATTTTTTTATAAAATATATTTATTTTTCAAGTAAATTTATTGTTTGTTTTAAATCAACTCTCAAATTCAAATATATTATAATAATACTTGCTGTACCATCTCAGATTTTTAATATCAAAAAACTGAAATCAGTTTACTTCTTTAAATAATCAATGCTTTCCAATTGTTCAATCAGATTTTACTTAAAAATCAAAACAAAAACTTAAACTTGTTTAAACTAGTTTTATATTATAATAACAATAATTATAACAATAATATCAATTATACTACTATTGACAACTATTATAACAAATAACATCATATATATTTTATTATTTAAGATAATTAAAAAGCAAGAAAGATAGAGCTATAAGCCTGTCCAAAAACTTTTTTAAAGCTATATTTAACTTGGGATTAAGCTTAACTATGTATTTAGAAATAGAAAATATAGAAAATATATTTATAGAGAGTGCATTTAGAAAAGTCTCTTTGTATACTAATTATATATATTATTATTATTATTTTTTTGTTTCTAATTAAACTGCAAGAGTAAATTTTATTTATCCAATTTTGAAAAACAATAGTACAATATATATAATACTATACTAAAACTAAACTAGTACATAAGATTATAGAACACCCATCAATGAATTTAGATTTGTATATAATCCTTGAATCCTTAATACCAAGACTACTGTATTGCCCACATAATTTAGCTATTTACTAACTATCTCACTATAAGAAGTAGATTTATTAAGTTATTACTGCATAATATTAACTATATTGAACTTTCTAAATTTAAATTCTCTAAATGTGATCATAGGGAATAATAAAAATTGCACCTTTCAAGACTAGACATTATAAACTATACCTTGAAGAATCTCAACCAGCCTATATTCAGACTGTTACCCTAACATAACCTTGTGGTCCTAAGAGGTAAAAATTTTTATTTTTTTAAAAAAGAAAAAAATAATAAAAAGATTAATTGAAAAGTTTGTTCTAGTAAATAAAAACCCTCCAATATCAACTTCAGTCCATTAGAATAAATCCTTTACCACTACCTGCAGTTGAGCAAACCATTTAATTTTCACTATTCTATTGCTAACCAAGAATGTTCAAGATACTTATAACAAGTCTTATACCTATAAGAAATTATTGCTTGATGTCTTCTCAAGATAATCAACAATAGAGGAAACTTGTTACTGGATTAGGATAAGACTTCTTTTGATCTTTAAAAGAAAAGAAACCAATCCAAAAGGGGAGAGGGAGTGCCATAACACATCTTGACAAAATAGATACCTTATTATCCTGCTCTTTTCACTATAACCAATTGCATTATTGGGTTTTATTATACATGTGGCATAAATTATTTTGCTGTTGACTCAATTCCCAAAATTCTCAAAAATAATTGTATCATGATTCAATTATTTATATGTTTTAATAGTAACTCAATTAATTGTATCAAATAATTGCATCAATTGCATCAAGGATCTACAAATTTCAGCAACATGTATAGGTTTTATGTTGTATGAGATAAGGCACGTGGGAGTTATGTGTCTTGTTTACATTTCTTGCTACATATAGATCAACCAGTCCAAAATTCGAGCCAATTATCATTCAAAGATTCTGGTGTAACCAAAAATTCAGAATCAAACTGAGGTAGGCAAAATTCTTTAAAAAAATCAGAAAAAAGTTTACATGCTTGAAAAGATAGAGGAGGAGCTTGAGGAAGATGAGAAAAGAGTTCCAGAAACCTATACCAGTCTTTTTTAGAGTCTTGAATCTTTGAAGAAAGAAAGAAGAGTATTTTTTCTATAGGTTCTTTTTCCTAATAAAGTTTTCTTGTCTTTAACTTTATAGGTAGAAGTTTTTTATATTTATTTGCAGAAGTACAAGAAGTTTATATCAAAGAAAGAAAGAAACAAGTGGGGAAGACTATGCTTCTTGATATGTGTGTTGTTAATGAAAGTGTATAGACTTTATTACAAAGAAATATAAAAATTTCCTTGAAACATCTGTTTTTGTGTTGACAAGGAGATCAGCAAAAAGAGTTACACTAATTATAAATCAAAATTATTTTTAAATGTAATATATATTATATTTCAAAAATATAATATTATTAAATATAATATTAATTCTATAGACCTGTGGGTCCATAGTGTAGTGGTTAACACTCCACAGGTCAGATCACAAGATACCAGTTCAATTCCAAGTGAAGGTGGTTGAATCGAATTAAAAATGGTATCTGGGGCCATAACCTGTTAAGCCCTGTTTCTTATAAGAAATCATTCGTACGCTGATCCAGTAGGACGTTGGAATTGTGATCCCCAGAAAAGGTATCGTGGCGTGACAATCATCCGGTTGGTATTACAATGATCGCCAGAAGTTGCAAGGTGTATAAGGTGTCCGCTTTCGACGAGCAGGTTTGGTGATCCTTCCCCTAATATCCGGTGTCTTTCATGCAGATCCCTGCCCTAGTCTCATC